GGTAAGTAGAATGAGGGAGGAGGGTCCTACTAAAGTGGGAATTTCCGAGGGAGATCGATTATAGTTTGCGCATTTTTTCCCAACGATAGACCATGCCTTGATTCGTAACCATCGTTCAAGGATATATCAGATGACATACATCCCATTTCAACGACCACTTCGTCCTATCGTTTTGTTATCTACTAATCTTCAGTGAGTATACACTTGTTACAAAAAAAGAAAATAACGGGATAATACGGTGAGGGAAGAGAAGTCAAGAAACTCACCTGGATATGTAGACGACGTTTTCTTCAGGGAACACCTCCTTGATACCCTTGCTCGTAAAATCCGGTAGCACAGTTTGGTGAGTGTACTGCCCTCCATAGAAACCGACACATCTAAATGAATCCAATTTAAGGATAGCATACACGGTTCTGTGTAAGCCAGTAAATAGAAGTTGACTAGGGAACGCCTAAATCCACTCCATATTTCAAATGTTCAAATCTAAATTTTGTAGCCTTGAAATGACTTACCGGTTTAACCATTCCTGTGCTTCATAGGTATCTGGGAAGTTCGCAAAAGTCATGTGCAAAGGCGTTCTTGAATCCAAATTTTCCTACAAATACTGAAAAATGCGTTACGGCAAAATAGAAACAATAAAGGGATGCAATGTTTTTGAATAAATTAAAACATAGTTAAATTGTTGAATAATTTCCGCAATACTGGTCCAAGCGGCAAAATACTTACGCTGATAACATACTGCAACTGATTGCCGAGTTCGGATTGCACGCGTGGTTTCTCGTTGAACATATATTGCAGATCAAAAACAATTTTGGGAGCTTCGTCACAGCGCAAAGTCGACACAATTCTTGCTCCCTGGGCCATATTGATCTCTGCAAAAGCACGTGTTAATTGCTGTAGGAAAAAACCTGTGAACTTCTTCTAGCTGATCCTCACTCTTTCTGTTCCTCATCGGATTGTGAATCAGCTGGTAAAGATCCGGTCCATAACCCATCTCTCCTCGTTCGAACTTTGCTCTCTGAAAATCGCCAAGGTGATCTCCTAACAAAACAAAGGGGGAGGGGGCACTCAAGGGGCTCCTTGTACAAAACTAGCGCTAAGTTAAAGGCAGTTGGCACGATGATTTGGTGCTCGGCCTAAAATGCTAGTAGGGCGCTATATAGTGGGGAAATGGCGAAAGAACGGAGTGAAACGGTCAAAATCCTGCGAAGAAAGAGCCTCCGTTCTTAAATGTGTTCAAAAATCAATTTTGGACGAGTTTCCCGTAGGCATCTTGCCAATAACCGCTACCGAAGGTACGGCTGCATATGTGTACTCATATATCCATGCATCACGGCCGCTTCATACCAATCCCTTCGCTTCATAATTTGCTTAGCAAATGAATGAATACGAGCGTCAGGAACGGTCGTCCATTTGTGGGCGGGGGCGTGGGGGCGTTTGGGACGTAAAGTTGTGGCTTGATAGGGCCCTTATAAGGGCACCTTCCTTGGAAAAGGCATTATGCAGCGCCTGCTCAGGGTCGCGGAATTCCGTCCTGCCAGGCGTATTAATCCTACTCGTCTTGGGGGATTTATCGTGCCAACTGCCTTTAAGGAACTCCGACGTGACAGTTTTGCACAAGAGTCCTTCAAATGCTCCTGCCCAAGGCGATCATCTACAGGAGGATAACAAGGAAATGAGTTCGAGAAACTGCTGAACAATGAGAGAAACCTCTTCGTCCAACTTTGCTGCATACTCTTCCGCTTTGGAGCTTTTCCTCAATTTATCTCTTTCTTCGCGGCGTTGTTTCACTGCAACATATTCCAGGAAGGAAACACGATCAGCAACTGAATCGGTAGTATTCAAAATCCTGAAAATTAACGTAATATGGAACCGTTACGGAAATGAAGTGATTGAACAAAACAAAATTAGGACAACGAGCTTTACTTACCGGTACCAATCGTCGTCCGTCAAATGTTTCGGAACGAAATTTCCCATATAGGCGAAGATCTGAATGGAAGACTTTGTAAACTATCCCCTCATTCACTTCTCGTTCAATATTAAGCTAATAGTTAAGTCCTCTTAAGCAGTATAAACAAGTAGAAAATGGAAAACACGTGGGAATAGTGGCTTGTCTCGCTGCTGTCTCGGGCGACTCAACGTTTATCACTAACCCCGAGGCCCTCAGTAGGAAGGCTGAGGAAAGGCGTTGTTCAACTGCAACTAACTAAACAGCAATTTCAAGGTATCACTACTAGAGCACTTCCTGTCCTTGAGAAGAACACCTCCTTTCACGACCAAATAAGACCCCCGAAAAGACAGGCATCAGCGTACGACGCGTACTACAGACAAGAACCTAAGAAAACTATCTATGTAAGAGTCTGGTAAATGCACAAGGAAATCAACTGGAGACTATCCTGTTGGCTATTGGTATAACACACAAGAATTAACGTTCAGTGATACGCAGCCTCGAACTCAGGCTCCCATACTAGGATTTATTTTTTAGATAGAAAGATTAGAATTCGCCCTGGACCTCACCATATCCAATATTAAAAATTAACTAGTTAGCGGTGAAGTGATGACTGAAACCAAAATCCGTATTCGGTATTAGCAGGATCTCAACAATTTTATTTCTCTGAACGGCCCCAAGCAGTATGAGAGTGATGGAAAAAAACGTGAAAGGGACCCAGGTAACAGTTTTTCTTTCCTAATAGAAACCAAGGGGAAAGGAGCAGGGCATTGCATTGGGTGGGTGAAATGGCGCTGTCGGTACGCTCTTCTAAAGTGGCGACCCAAAAACGATCCCTAATGGGTTTTTCTCGACAAATATGCCCGATGAAGGGGATGCGTACACTTACGTAAACAATGCGTACAATTATAACTTAGCGATCTAAGGCGATACGTCAGGTTCACACTCCATGATTTCACGTATAAGTTGTAGAACTAACCTCTAATTCCTTGATAACATCTTTGAGCTTCTTGTGATGCTTGAATGGTGCAGCAGACCACACTCTTTCGGATGGCATCAGCGCCTTCAACTGATCTTCGTAATCGATCTCTCCGTCAGTAGTTTGCTCTTCATCATCTGCTGCTTCCGTAGGTCTAAATGTCAGATATATGTCTCGTCACACTATCTCAAGGCGCCTTCCATGGAATACGCCGTTCGGCGACGTGCGAGGGGGGGGGGGGGGAAGGGAATTTTGCATTCCTGTTACTTCCCATCACCGACGTTTCGAGTCATCAAAAGGAAATCTGCGAAATCTTGTGAAGTCAAGCAATGAGACCAGCCAAAATTTACCAGAATTGGCAGGTTTGTAAAGAACCACCTGCCGATTACTAGTAAAGGGTACCCGTCAATCCTGGTAAAACAAGAAAAAATTAAAATGCAAAGACCGTTTACGATGAACAAGCTCCCCGGCTCCACAACGGTTCACAGGTTTTACCAGAGCAAGTCTTGTGAAACCGAAACTAGTGAGCCACGAAAGTAAGAAATGCCCCCTCCCTCGCAGAAATTCCAAGTAATGAGGATTACTCACGGTGCATCGCTGGTGGCTCGAGCAGAGAGTGCTCTCAAACGGACGAAATTAGACGGTGCACAAATTGGACGCAACAAATCAGTCGCTGTCAGATAGCGTAATACAGAACGATATATCATAGGTAGCAACATTTCTGAAACAACAACAGATTTATGAAAAATTCATATCAAATTGTAACAAACCGAAAGAGACAGAGCAGGTTATTCGAGCATGGTGGCACAAAAAAATTCTCAAGAAATTGACGCAGCTAACGTAGCTTTCAGACATGAGAATTGCGAAATCTAATGACACAAAAAAATCAAAAAGAACTGCTGTCGCTGTCAAACTGATTTCCGCGGTAAACACGAAAAATGAACCTGCCTGGAACATCAGTTCTTCTCTACGACCGCGATTGATGCGCTGCTTCAAAAAACGAGTAGGATTGAAAATTCCTTTGAGGAAGGGATAAGAAGCGAAAAAGCAATACAAAGGAGACAAAACGATGAGTACTATAGAAAATATTTTTGGTAATCAAAGGCGAGCAGCGCAAAGTGAGAATCGTGCAATCGCACCCACTGTGTTCAATTTCCCGTCAGGATCTCTCGTGTTTCAACGATGCGTCTAGAAGTGGGACCGGCTCAGGTCTGGGCTGAAGAGCTCAAATGAGTTTTTTTCTGCTAGGGGGTCTCAAAAGGTCCCCATCGCATCTCTTGCCCGATTATTCAAAGGGAGGAAATTGGAAATGGGAACAGAGATGGAATGAAGGAAAAGAAGGAAGTAGGAAGAGAAAATTAAGGAGGACGGGTCTTTAGACGGCCTAGGACTGGGAGAAATATCGTAGCAAGAATACGACAGAAAAAGATATCCCATATCGATCGTCTTTTGCGGCATTCGGATCTTACCGTGTTTCGCGCATATCTCAAGTAATTTTGCGGGTAGGTCACTACCTAGGGTGACATTTTCCGAAGGCGACGACGTATTGTACATGTTCTCTATCCTCTTAGACCTCTTAGATTCAGAGTATAATCGATCTGCTTATGTGCAGAGAGCGAAGATGAAGACAGCCGCTACCTTAGTAGGTACTACAGAGGCCAAAAAGAGGTGGGGGCCATGCTCTATTTTCTATAATAAGCCACATCATTCAGCAAGTGGTGCGATACCGCGGCGGGGGAATGTAGAGCTTCATACACAAATAGAGGCATTTGAGCAGTTCCGTTCAACAGAGAGAAATAAGGAGGAATTTGCGCGCTGTTGGGCTTAGGGTGGCGCGGAGGCACTCTGCGCTTTTGCTAGCCTTGCTAGTGCTACTTTGGTGTAACTGTAAACCCTTAGGAGGCTACGAAATATTAGGTCGTCCGGAAAGTTCTCAGCGTTCTGAGGGTTTCACTTTGAAACGATCATAACTTTCTTAATACTCATCGGATTTCATGCAAATAAGCGCCATTCGAATCAGCACACTTTTGCCAGTTTGAAGCCAGTCGATAAATCCCATCAAAGCAAAAACTGGGTGGTCGAGAATCCACGAAGGCTTTTTTGCCTGGTCCTGATTGATGAAGTATTTTCCAGCAAGGAAGTTCTGAAAATGTTTGAAAAGGTGATAGTCGGTTGGTGAAAGGTCTGGAGAATATGGCGGGTGAGGTAGAACTTCAACCCCCAATTCGTTCAATTTATGGATAGTGATTTGTGAAGGTGTTGTAATGAAAAAAATCGATCCTTTCTGTTGGCTGGCTGCAGCTGACGCAATTTTCGGTACATTTCGTCGATTTCTTCACAGTAGGACTCTGCTGTGATGGTTTGGCCTGGTGACAAAAAGTTATAGTGGATCCACCAGCCGATGACCACCACACTGTGACCATAATCTTTTTTTCGTGAGGATTCAACTT